TGGTTTGCTCCCTCTTGTATAAAGAGATACCATAAACAGGAATGAAATGATTTAACTAATATAACACACTTTAGTATGGTTAACTTGTAACAGAACATGAGTGCTTTTTAAACGATAACAATCATGGTAAAATGACTTGAGTTTGGTGTATAGTTATATCGATAAAATCGTTACCATTTTAGCTACAGTACAACATTGTGACTCTATCATATAGAATGGAGGCAACATTTTAAAACCCTAACATTTTCAGTAAAACGAAGTGGTTTATTATTTATACTCAAATGAACGTTACTACAGTTATTCGAAATGGATAGATTGATGAACGAAGTTTGAAGAAATGGGTGTGTGAACCAAGGAGAGTTTATTTACACAGGAGCTCAGCTACATTATAAATATGTTTTGCATCCATCTCTCTCTCTCTCTCTATCACTCTATCTACCTACATCATACAAGTTGGAGGAACACAGATAATATGTTTCTGTAATGGAAATTTTCCCCATGTCACAACGCCATACATTGGTTTGGACATCGTATTTCTGAATTCTAAATCTTGAAGCAAACGGAATGGATTAGTACCTGAATACCTGGGTCATGTCTGCTTGAGATCAAGGTATTCAACTTCACAACAGTGACTTCTGTCATCCAGTCATGATGGCAACTGCTTTCAGCGAGAGCTCCAGGTACATAAATCATGGTGGGCTCGCCACTCCGCCACTGGTATAACACATTTCGTATCAAATTATTTTAATTCAGTGGATTAAAACCAGATTGCTTTAAATTGATCACTTTTACGGATTCACTTGAATTCGACATTTCGGTGCTACTTGAGCACATTTTACAAACATTTATACATAATATTTGTAATAGGTGTGTACCAATCACAACGCAACATCATATATGGGGTACTATATAACACATTTGCATGTGAAAATCCAATATTTTCTTGTGTGGTTTTACTCTGTTATCTCACGATCTGCTCTGAGGTAAAGGTTCATTGAACATGTTTACGTTACATGCAGAGATAGGATTCGTGAGCCTCACTAAATATGAATGACTACATTTTGAAATTGAAATAAAAACTAAGCATAAATATTTCAACACAAAAAAAAAGTTTATACGTACGTTTATATTGTCCCCTCGAAAAAATATAACAGAAGATCAGTTAAAAACCTAACACAGATATTTTGATTGACGGGACTGTCGGGCGACATGGAACTTTTTTAAGAAAAAAAAAGTTTTTATACTGAAATAAAATGAAGGATTTTTTTTTTTAAAAAAAGCTGATCCTGTCGATCATTTTATATTTCTCATTACATTACAATGGAAATGTCTCCTCGAATGTGAGAGGCATGACTGGGGGACTCGATGGTTAAACTTATTAGCGTCCCCTCTCCATTACCTAAAGCCTGCCTCTCTTGCTCTATGGAGCCTGGCTCTGCAGAGTTCATTTATGATAATTCCACATCTCCTTTAGAAATTGTCAAGTGCACACAGTGCTTTCAATACATTGAAACGCATTTACGCCGTCGCCTCGGTGGAGCAGGCAGTGCGACAATGAGTGAAACAAAAACACTAGTAGGTCTAAACAATTGCACATAAATAGGTAGGTTCAGCAAAATAATAAATACTTTGTTTTATTCAGACGGTAGCTGAACACCGTGAAGTTATGCATTCGCTCCTGCCGCCTAAGCAACTGTAAATGGCAATATCAATATAACACTAATTTATGTTTCGACGCGAAAAAAAAATGGAAATCTAATTTGAATTTGCATTAGATCGAGTTGGAACTTCAAACCCACCGTTTCCATCAACCAGACAGAAAGGTATAAAACAGTCCGTTTCTCAAACCTCAGAGACGCATATATAGCGACCCACTGGCAGACTGTAAGCAAATAAATGTGAATCTTGCAGAATCCTTTTATCCTGGGTAATTACGAAATGTTATTTTAGTGATCTAGCGTTATGCACATGTGTGCATGTTATGTTACATGTGTGCAAAACATATACTTAGGTTATTTCAGAATTCTATGAATTTGTACACCATGTGTAGGGATTCAGTTAAAGTCCTGGCTATGGTTTGGTGGAGATACCAACGCTTTAGAGGTTATGCTTCAAATATGGCATTGCATTCGAGGAACACCAATTAAATTAAGTGCCTAATTCTAACAAAAGATTGCGGCGTGTAAAATAATCTTTAGGGTAAGAAAAAGATCTTCAGACCAGAAAAGGTGCTTAAAATTAAACTCCAGGATACATTGAATGATTTAATGTAATACACTGCCTATAGTTCCCAGTCCTAAATATCATTTTCTGCCCAATAAATTTGTGTGCTGCTTTAAGTCAAAACCGTTTGTAAATAAATTCGGAGATTAACCCAAAAATCCATTACTAATATTTTAATAAATATGATTCCTATCAGGGAAGAGTAACATAAGTATAAGTGATCATGGTAAACAATCTTGAGACTTACATCGGGAGAGATTGGATGGAATCGCATGTTTTGTTGTCCCCCAGAAAAGAAAAGTAACGGGTCCTTGATAGTATGCACATTCCTGAATGAACATCAAAAAGCTTGTGTGTGTGTGTGTATATATATGTGTATATATATATATATATATATATTGTCTCAGGGAAAAATGTTGCTAACGTTTTGGAACAACGCGGCGAGGAAAGTCGACTTTATTAATTAAATCTCTGTTTCAAAAGCACAGACACTTTTCGCCGCGTAAGAAAGTGGGTTCACCCTTAACACCTATCAACCTTTATCTTTCTGTTATTTGCAAGCAAATCCGGGCTAGCTGAGCTTCTGGGCTCCAGAATGGATCTACCGAAAGAGGCAACAGAAGGTTTAGAGAACAGCAGGTCAACAAGACATGTTATTATTCGGTCCCCTTGTTGAATCTGAAGAGAGAGAGAGCACTCAGTCTGTGATCATGTCTGGTCCCTTGTGGAAACTCGAATGCATGTACACTCCGATTGCAAGAAATGGGTGACGGGCCACAACACCGATGAAAAACAGGTGAAGACATACAAAAAAACTGCAGTCGATCTAACACAGATTTAATGATGCGCTGAAATCTCGTTTACGCTTATATTTTTCTATTTTATCCTTCATCAAACAGCTACATTTTCAAGAATTATTACTAGAATGTTTTAACACACGTACATCGCTCTTGTTTTACTTTGAAATAGCAAAACTATCTGACCAGGTCGAGTAAACCTTAAGTGAATATGCAATAAATGTAATTTTTCATAGGCTTATATTTAAATATCTCAGCGCGTTTCCAATGCCAGACTATTAATATGCCCTTTATCCACGTTTTAAGTTTCTGTTACAATGGATTTATGAATTTTAAATGTGATTGTAGATAAAAGGTTGTACCTCATACACTATAAGTACGTTTGTGCCTCATTATGCTTTTTGGACTTAAACCGGTGTTGTAATAAATAATACATTTCAAATTATTATTTGTATATTTCACATGTAGGTAAATGTTGGCTGGAGTAGGCAGCCGAACGAACATAGGATCAGAAAAAAATGTGCAGGTTTTACATCGGAGACAGAATTAAAAGTAATACAACTGTTATTTAACGCCAACAGACTCGGTTTCGCTTATATATCTCATTTCAGTATGGATTTCTCGCTTTAAATGTTCAGCGCAATTGCACTTTCACGAGGAATCTATATATTACAGTCAACCAAAAAACAATAATTAAAGTGCACAACGGAAACCTTCGATTTAATCCACCTCCTGCTTCGCTAGACATGAACTATTGAATGTAAACTCGCGTGTGTTTGTATTTGTGTATTGTGATTGCACTTAAATAATAACTATATTTGGTTTGTTACTGAGTATCAGTCAGAATCACGCGGCCCTTATGTTGTAATGCAAACCGGTATTCAATCGTAAGTTTATATACAATCTACAGGAGAAGCACAAATGCGCTATATCAAGAGTACACCATCCACTCTGCTCAGAGATAAAATAGCATGTCAAGTTCAAGTGTGATACAATATCTCGGCACACAGCTTCCATTTCTACCAGTAAAGGCGACAGCGGAGGCGAAAGCTATGGAAACGCGCAAATTATTGCAAAACATGCCTTTTCCTTTCATGCTATTTATTTCCGTGTTCTCAGGTTACACACTAACATTATCGCATGGTGGTTAATGTTGCTATATCACACCTACCTTAGATTACATTTCAATTTACTCTCAATAAAACGGTAATGAAATCGCACTCAATCAAAATCATTATTAAATTAAGGGCATGTATTTTTCTACTTGAAGCCATTTCTTGATGTTAACGTTGAGTAGTTTCAAAGGCAATCTTGTCTCAGACGCCTTCGTGTTAAATTAACCTAAATTCAAGAAAGTCGGAGTGTCCTCGGCATCAGAGTACAGGTGATCCACCTTATCCGGCATTGATTTATGAAACTACCACATCGACCTCACTGGACAATTGAGAGTTGAATTTACAAGAATGTACAGTTAGCTACTGGTTACAAGTTCTCAGTTGCAGTGTTGTTTTGTGATGGGGCGCACCATCACAGAGCTGTGTAGTCACAAGAGATCACAAGTCCTTAATGTTCGCCTTGCAGTTTTGTTGACCCTCCGGAGTTGGCGGGGGGTTGGTGGGGTGGGGGGGTTGGGGGGGGGGGGCGGGAGAGGGAAGAGGGTGCAAGTTTGCAACATCTTTCACAATTCATTTCAACAACTTGCAACTACAATTACACGACTGGTCAAGCGATCCCCAAAGGTAACAGGACATCTTATTGAACCAGTAGCCAGTATTTTACAGTGTTGCTCAGGGTTTATTCTCCAAGGGTGAAAGAGTCCAGTTTACATCGAATTGGATGTCAATCCGCCCTCACATTTGTCCGTTTGGAGATTTCTTGTCCAAACGTCAGAGGGATAGTTTTTGAATATATGTTACAAGGTTTGCCAGTGCAAACAATATAGCATTGCCGCACAGGTCCCCAATCTTTTGGTCAAAGCTTCTACCAGGTTCTGCCGTATAGCATGCTGGGGTTCACCATACTTCCCGTGTAGTCTGCAGTAGATGTGTCCATTTGAGACATGCTAGTGACAGAACTGTGCAGAGAGGAAGGGCTGGGTGACACTTGGCCCAGATCTTGAGCCTGAGCTAACGAATTGACCTGTTGATTCTGCTGTTGAGAGATGATAGTGCTGGAGACAGGAAGGATGCTGTTTGCATTCTGCTGCTGTTGCACCTGTTGGTTGGGTGTAGGGGTGCTGGAACCGTTCTGACACGGTTTGCCATCTTTGACCAGGACTGGCACGGCCACCCTCCTGGGAGACTGTTGCTGTTGGCACAGGCTATTCTCCTGCTGCATCTGCTGAGTTGCCTTGTCTTTGGCCTGGCGTTTCATCTTGTAGCGGTGGTTCTGAAACCAGATCTTTACTTGTGTTGGCGTGAGGTGGATCATGCTGGCAAGGTGTTCTCTCTCCGGGGCAGAGAGATATTTCTGTTGCTTGAAGCGTCGTTCCAACTCATATACCTGAGCTTGAGAGAAGAGCACCCTCCTTTTCCTCCTTGGGGTAGCGTGTAAAGGTGCCATGGGTTTGGAAGCGTCCGCCATCCCGGTCAAACTCCCCATCCCTGCCATATTCATCCCTGATGAGGTACCCATGAATCGGGAAACTAAGCAATAAGATTTATTGAACACATTATGATTAAAATTGGCGGAGAGTAAACAAGGTCAATTTTACCGAGAAACGTGCACTGTTCCTTACATTCTCTAAAACAAAGAGGAACAGTATTCAAACGGATAAAGATCTCACAGCTATTAACTTGAAGGTCAATGTGCAAGTTTTATATTTTCATATGGGAAAACGCAGCAATGATTCCTGAAACAAAAGTTTAGTGTCTACAGCGATAAAGGACGCCAAGAACTAAGTGGAACTTATACAACGAAATATCCAGTAACTATTAAATGTTTATCATCTTACAGCAAAGGGCAGCTTGAGTTAAAAGGTAAAACTCTTCCGCTGAGCTTCAAACTTGCCACCAACAAAGTGCTTTGCTTGAAAATTCTCAATTTGATTGCCATTCTGTAAATACATCCTACATACATATATATATAATAATAATCCTTGCATTCGATATAGCGCTTTTCACGTCTTCTTGACATATAGTTGCACATATATATTTTAGTGAAAGAAAGCAAACTTTAGTGCTTACCATTTATTTGCACATAATGCATCAATATTCAAACATCCCATTGTGCATGGTTAGATGAAAGCAATTTGCTACGGTGTGTTGTTTTAAATATTATGAAATCTACGATGTTATCTAGACAACACTTTTTTTTAAAAAAAAGACTATTTGAAATGAACTTACTTGTTGAATATCTGGGATCCGGGTTAGTCCCATACCAGCCAGTTGCAGCGGCACTATTCCTCATAGTGTCCTGGTAAGAAGGGAGATCCCCCATGTTGCCAATACTGCCGTTACAATAGCCCCCCATGGCACTGTGAGAAAATTGGGAGACGCCGTGTGGCATGTGGTAGGTGGTCGCCACCGTGGCGTTGTGGCCCATGGTGTGCTGCTGCATGCCGGCCTGGGAGACCTGAGGCTGCCGGTAACCTCCCAGAGGAGGTCCGAGATTGCCTGCTCCATCCATGCCACCAAACTTCTTGTAGGTCTCCTCGATTGGGCTGAGAATGTCTGTCACTGAAAAAGGCGTTGTATGTTTGGGGCTCAACGACATGGTTCGGTAAAGGGAGCAGGTAAATTTGTTGAGAGGATCAAGCCGTGTGTTGTGTTAGCTCTCTCCCTCCCTCCCTCTCCCTCTCTCTCTCTCTCCTCTTGTGGATGGCGACGTAAGAGAGTGTTTAGAGTCCGCCTGAGATCCGATTGATCGGCTCGGAGGAGGCGAGCCCCGAAAGCTCTTATCTTTGGTTTATTTTAGCCAGGCGCCAGGTTTACGACAGAGCCCTGGGGGAGGAGCATCGGTGCAAACGAGCAAACAATAGTGCTTGACATCTTTACCAAGATAATTGGGCTAAATGTAGGTAGGTCCATATTAAGATAAGCAGTAATGCCAGGGTAACTTGATTAAATACTTTTTGAGCGCTTTGGGCTTATATAGTGCGACACCTTTGAGATAAATCTGATTACAGCAGATCATGTTTTTTTTCCCCCCCCCTTTCGAGTCGTGTGAAATGACGAACTTTTCATTTGCTGTAATTGGGGTGTACTCATTAAGGTGAATCCAATTTTCTTGAAAACAGCAGAGTTTGTTGGCCCTGTGCTGCTGTGCTCTCCAGCTCTGCTCTGCTCTTACAGCCTGAATACAATAGTTCATATGAGCTTAAAAGAGCTCTTCGCTCCAAGAATAAGCCCCAGGTGCACAGTCAAAGAGGTTAGAATGAACGCTCTTCTGTTTTGTATAACTATCTAATCTATTCGTCGAAAGCATCATTTTGTTGCTGCTGAAGGGGTACTTGTAAATAAGACCAAACTACGAAAATCCGATGCGTGGACAGGATGAGAATATTCAGAAGCTGGAGTTGTAAGTATTTGGGGTTCGTTTTTACTTATAAATGTAACTCTCCCCAACCCCCCACCCCACCCACTCCCCACACCACCCTTAAAACATTTCATGTAACGTGCAACTTAAACGGCTTGTGCGCGTTTTGTTTCTTTTCTGTTTCTTTCTTTTCGCCAACACCTGTGAACACGTTATGTCACCGTTGTCCAAATTGTATCCGAGAACACTTTGAGAGACCAAATGCAACGAGACATATCCCGGGAGCGTTGTGATGATGGAAAAGGGGAGCGGGGTTGGGGCAATGGGGGGAGAGAGAGAGAGAGAGAGAGAGAGGCAATGACTGGTATCTCCGAGTCAGCATCACCCTGAGCCGAAATAAAACATCACACTGAGCGAAATCGACCTGGACTGCACCTTTCAATTGCTATGGCCGAAGGAAGGGGAGAATAAGAAAAATAAGGTACAAGCCCTGACAATAATGCAAACCAGTTACTTGTGATGGTTCTTTCAAAGTTGCAACGAATCCTAGTTGAACTAGGAGATCCCATAAGCCATTCTTTAGGGTTTTTAAATATTATGCATTCATTTAAATGACACATTTCTGCAATATATGTTTAATCCCCTTGAAACAAAAACTTCAAGGAAGTACATAAAAATATACCGTGCAGAAATTACTTTCTTGGCATCCATCAGAATAAGTTAGTTACGTCATCGTAGTCTAAGTATGTTGTGTTAACTTTAAAAAGGAAAGTAAACGTATTAATTTAAAGCCACAGTGGTAGAAATCGTCAAATGTGAGGGGTTGCCTCTTAACCCAGGCTTCGTCAGACGGTTGCATCTAACAAATAAGTGGAGGTTTTAAAAACATCTCTTTATTTGCACTTGAAGTAAACCGTTCTATCTGATGATCATATGTAAAAATATATAATTTCGTAAACGATCCAACTTATAGTCGATTCACCCCCCCCCCACCCCCCCCACCCCCAACACCCAACAAAAAAAACCCGGATATGTTAACACGTGTTTCGTGAACCATTGCAACAGTCTTGATCAGGACAAAATGATACTAAACATTTGAAATGGACACTCAATCGATTTTTAATCGATTGATGATTTCAAATAAAATTCTAACTTCACTTGCAGGAAAGGTTGCTAATATTAATGATCCCCAGTGTGACAAATGTTTCACAGGGTCACCAATTTTTTTTACTAATTTGGGATGCCACAGCCATATCTCTACTCTCTGCCTAAGCATTGCTGCACCTGCATTTTTGCTAAACCCCTTTCTCTTTATTTCAAAAGAAAAGTATAGCCGAACATTAATATCCTTATTGCATACTCAAACACACACACACACAGAGAACCTATTTCACGGCTTGATGTACTTTTGGAAATGTTTAAAACTTTATGAATTTACTGAATTGACTGCCATCACTCCTCTTTACTTATAGTCTACTCTGTGTCCTACAGACAAACAAGAAAGACATCCATTGGGAACTATGTGATTACAATTGTAAAAAACGCCTTTTAGTATGATTTCCTTACTGAATTAGTTTAATAATACCACAGCTCTTTTGGAAGGAGCTGTTCGTTGTTTTATTTGTGCTGCTGTAAAATTAAGTACTTATATTTGCCTAGAAACTGTTTCACAGTGGACCCTTGAAGACTGCGGTTTAAAATGAGGAGACTGATCAGACTGAATAACTTTGCTGCCACTCGAGATGTTGGGAAAGGAGAGACTTTGTCAATAAAAGTTGCCACTAATCCTGTAACTATGCAGCCCGGGTTTAACACAGGCGGTGCTGGGCGGACAAGATGATGTGGACAGAGCTGAAGCTGTGACCAATTCCATCCCTCTGAGAGTTGAGAACTAATATGGATTTCATCAGGTTTTATATTTAATATCTAGAAAGACCCTGGGTGGGGTACACTGAATCTTGTCTCTTTGCTGAACCAGAGTACTAAATCCAGGCGTAAAATAATAAAGGCCGGTTAGTTTAAAATGCTGTTTGCAAAGAGACCTCCACTTGCCAGGATCAGTGTAAATGAGTATGTTACATTGATGTGGCGAGAGTAACAGACTTTGTATATAATGGAAGGTGATGAGATACTTGGGTCCTAACCATTTCACTTGTATCACCAGTTACAGGTGCGTGTGTGTATCTGAAACCCTATTTTGCTTTGTTTTAATAATCTAGTCTGCTATGCAAAACTACAAATAGCAAGTAACACAGTGTGATATTTTTATATATATTGTCACAAATAGTCAAACAATATCTGTATACCTGTACCGATAAATTACCACGTTTAAAGTAAAATTACAAATCCAAATGGCACGGAGACAGCATTGACTATTGATGGGCCTTTAAGAAGGCTCCGTATCTTGTGTTGTTGACAAAAAAAAATGTTAACTGAAAAATCCGTAACCATTAGCACAAGAAACCCCGTCCTGAAAATCTGTTCAATTGCATTCGGTATCTGACAGCCTAAAGCGACGATAGAAAACTTCAAACTAGAGTTAGCAATTTTCAACACACTGGCCATCAGTTAGTGATATATTGCAGTGTAACCCGGACAGAAAAAAAAGTATTGTCAAGTCTAGTTTATGCCACGTTACCCCCCACCCCCACCCCCACCCAACAGTATTTGTATTACTATTTGCAGATGCCGGACAAATTATATTTTACGTTTCCAGAAGGTAAAGGCTCACTGTGTATGAGCCTCGCCTTTCATCTCAGCGACTCGCAAAGACAAGAAGTTATTAGGCAATGAAAGTGGTCTGAGGAACGCAACCAGGGAACATCTACTTGTGACACAATCTGAGTTACTGCCTTCCTGGCAAGCAACCTCTCAGCTTTGGTAAGTATACAAATAATGACACATTTGGTTAAAATGTTGGTTAATGTAAAGACGCGATGGGTTAAGAACAAATTGGATGGTACAATGTTCTGACCCAGTTCATTCCCGTTCAGTATCTCTCTCTCCCCCACCCCCCCACCCCACCACCACCACCACCACCACCACGTATGAACATGAATTAAGCAAAGCAAAAACTGACCCGTCTTATATTACATTATCTTTCACCGCAATTGAAATGCTTCTGTTTAATATGTAACCTGGTCGCTATAGTCTTTTTCACTTGTAGCAGGAATACACACACGCCGTGCAAACCAATCTGTTAGTTAAATCCGGTAACCTGCATAGGGCTAGTCAAGAAAATACCTGCCTTAAGGAATTTGCAACTCCATGCGGATGAACAACAAACCGAATTTAACTTAAGGTTTATGTTCAACAATTAAATTCCTTAGAATTGCTTTTTTTTAAAAAAAAAGCGCTATAAAACGTACTTGTACAACGTATTTACTAAGCACTGCTGAGTGTAAATTCCGCTTGGGTCTAGATTTACCCTATTAACATAACATTTCAGAGTATGCAGAATTTGGAAAATTGTTGAATTATTTTAACTTGGAAACCCCGTCTTACCTAGTTATTACATTATCTTCCAACGCGATTGAAAATGTTTCTGTTGAAGTGTGACCTGGTTGCATTAAAACGACTTAAAAGTAAAATCAACTTCAGAATTAAAAACCGTATTGAAGAATTTATCAAATTCTGGACGCTCTGAAATGACAAGTTATTAGAGAAAATCTAAAACCAGGTGAAATTCCTTCCGTTCATTTGCATTTCAGAATCAATGTTGAGCCGGAGTCAGTTTTAAATCTACTGCGGTTCTCAGCGGCGAAAAGCATAACAAACAAAATTTCCGCATGGAAATCTAAAGTAGTCTGCAGCAGTGCAAGCGATATAATAATAATATAATAATCCTTGCATTTGATATAGCACCTTACACGTCTTCGAGACGTCTCAGAGAGCTTCACATAAAGCAAAACGACTGTATATTTTGTGGGCGAAACGCTGAGAACGAACAAAGTTTTAATAATTCAGGCAATGGATAAAAAGAAAAAAAAACTGCCGATGCTGCAAATGAGAAACATAATCATAAAAATCCACAGCAGATCTATTGGGCTCTGAAGAAGGTTCGCAGAGAAAACATAGTCTCGCTTTTGTCTTGAAAGGCTGATTGATCTGGACTGCATTATAGGATGATGCAGGTTACAAATAAGCATTTAAACACAAGTCAAGAATATAAGGCTTTGTGCTAGAACACAATATAAAGTTTATAAGCAAGCAGTACTGCATTGCTAAGCTTTTCCCTC